TTAATCGGTTATGTTATTATTGCGCCTCAGGTTTAGAATTACCAGTCCAGTATTTAAAATTACCGCTAAGAGTGGTTTTGTGTTCGCAAATTATCACTCATTAGTGCACTAAATAGTAAATACCTAATTTTGTGTTAAATACCCACTAAATTTAAAATATGTTTTTGCTGAACTTCCAATTTAATTTTTGGATAAATTAGTTATATAATATGGAAATTTAACAGCTACTCATTTAAACACTAAATTGAAAAAAATCTAATCATAGGAAACCCGAAATTGTTGCTAGTGGTTGGAAACACTTCTTTAATAATGAGTTACACATTCATAATTAAAAAAAAAATACATAGTATATGACTTTGATTTTGGAGATGTAGATGAACGAGTTTGGTGTTTCAACGAGTAAAAATCAAATTTTGACTGTTTGAAGTGTGCTTCATATTTTCTTTTCACATTTGTAGTTTTATAGTTTTAATTGTAATGTTGACGTTATCAGTTATTTTATGAGGTAATAAATATTTCCTCTTACTAGTGTCGATAAACGTTAAATAGAATGTAAATTTGTAATGGAAATTCCTTTGTTAAATAGAACTATGTGCAGTATGAGTAATTGTTTCGTAGCAGTTTTATTTATGTACTTTCAAATAATTTTACTGGTTTTTCCAAATACTTGGGGACAAAATGAATTTGTCGTGATTCTGGGTATCATTTGTTCGCCCTTATTTTTTAGAGGAATAGTCGTTTCTTTAACTGTTTCAAGCAACATTACTGACATGACTGATGCCGAATGCTTTATTTATTGTGTATCTTTTTCCGTACCTAGCCACTGGGATTCAGTCATCCCAAATAATCGCGCGTTTTCCGTCGCCGGTATGTATTATCAATGTTACTTCCATTCATAATATAATCTCTCCCACCCTTTGTTTTTTCTCCCACTTGCGTAGAAGTTTTGCTCCTCCTTTTTGGAGTAGGTAGAGTACTACTAGAGTAAGACAATCTGATAATTGTCAACAAAAAACTCATTCATTAGCTGGCTGCTGTGGCGTACGAATTTATTGGATGTGTTTCCGTGTTAAAAACGTATAAAATTGAAGGTTGCATCTATTGCAATATACTAGCGACATTTGACAAATCGACATCAATTCTTCATTGGTACTTTATTGATTTTCTATCTTGCAAAAGACAGATTGTAACGTAATAATGTAAAAAACGAGCGGTTGGTGAACAATATGTTACAGTGGAAAAAGGTTTCCACTTGTGTGCCACATCTTACTGGGTATGAAATTTGCATCCACTCGAAGAGGAGATTATTTTAGTATATTTATATATTTTGCAATGGTACTGTGTTTTGGTTTGATGATTCATGCGTTGGATTTTATTGTGTTAATGTTTTCTGATTCAGTTTGTTGGTTCCATTTTAGTTCATTGTTAACTTAATAAATAGTTATGCGTGAGTAATGTTAGATGATAAAACAATTTGTCTTTTGTGAATGCTAATTTCGCAAAAACGTTTAGTTCTAGGGTTAATCCAGCAATTTTAATTATTACAATTTTATACTATCAATTTTCAACAAATATGGAGTATGCAATAGCAATGATGATTAATGATAATGATAATAATTTGTCAAAAGTATGGGAAACCCACTTTGATAAATGTCACCAGACTTTACTTTCATAGTTTTTGCACCTTGTTGAGCTCCGGATGTTTGTTTTATATTTTTCGTCACTTCACCTCACTTTGGATGTAGAATTGTTGAAGTTTAGTATACACGCGGTTCTAAAAAACCCGAAATTTTTTTATTTTTAGAAACCACTTGATATTTCGTTGTGTTTGTTGTGTTGTCTAGCATAATATTTGCGAACTAGGAGCAACATTGAGTAGTGAAAGTACAGTTTATTGGAAGACACGCAAATATTTTTTATTGTGACACGGTTTTGCACCACTGAACAAATATTTGGGAAAATTGTATTTCTAGAAACGAGACTCAGAATCGACAGATACACGAATAAACATTTTGAATGGCCATATTTGAACATTCTTGTTCATATATGTTGCTAAAATGGTTTGATTCCGCATTTACTCTTGCAAAAATAGTAACATATTTCAGCTTTCGTGATTCACAGCATGTTTACTGGAAATCATTCATTTAAAGCCATATGCATCAATTTTTCTAGACTTTCAGTAGGAATTTTTCAAATTTTGTACATTTTCGATTCAAAATACATGAAACAGGATGGTTACAACACGTAAACATTGAAGTTCCATAGTTTTGCTCACTTCATAAGACAGCATAAACTGAAATTTTAAATGGCCAGACAACCTTCCCACTAAGGATTTTCATAGATTTTTTCTTAATCTGCGTGAATTTCAGGGTGGTGTTTAGGAAGATGTTGATAAACTGAGCAGAAATCTGATACAAAACTGATTTATCTTAAAAATCAACTACATACGGATCTCTACAGACACAAACAAGTTAATATTCTATCATTGTGTGCGGCCCTTCCAGACACCTTTTAAATTCGTTGCAGAATAAAGCAAATCTGCCCTTGTTTGCCGTTTGTCGACCACCCAGTATCAAGCGAAGTTTTTATTAGAAGTGAATCGCGAGATTTTCAAATTAAGCTTAGATTTTTAAATCACTCAGTTTTTACAGAATACAGTTGTTTATACAAAACTCATTTGACATACACCTTGTAACACTTTTATGACTTAAGCGGCTTAAGCCAAACCACCCACAAGTTAAACTGGCTATTATAAGCTTCATGGACCCGAACCGCAACGATTATTACTGTCCATTGTTGCCATAATGGAGCTGTAAAGTTCTACTAGGTATATGTGAACTGAGTTAAGTTATACATTACAGTAGCCAGTTTGACTTACAAGGGTGCTAGTCAAGTAAGTTTTATATACAATTTGCACTTAAAGGGTATTGCGACAATAAATCGTACCCGTCGCAGACGATTCTTTAGGTTCAATTGTAAAATAAAATTTCTAATTCTTTGAGGTGTATTTTGTCAAAATTGAATAAAATATTGCATGCAACCACGCGAGTTAAGCGTATTATTCACTCGAAGGACTAGCCCACTCGCCCTGCGGGCACGTGAGCTAAACGTTCTTCTTGGTGAATAAAAATATACTTAACTTACTTGCTGTATAAATAATTATTATTGGTGTGTATCTATATTTTTAACCTTGAGCATACGTATTACCATAAAAAAAGTTGATTCAATTTATTAAAATCTACACAACAGACTTTTTTTTTTTACAGTACTAGTAGTTAGTATTGTAAAAAAATATTGTTAAACAAATGTTTATGCAAAAGTATGCTGTGATTAATTTTATTTCCTGAAATTTTAACAAAATAATAATAATTAGCGTTAAATTATGCATCTCGAAATTAATATTTTTGTAGTTACTGAGCTGTTGCTGACGTCATTCCAAAAAGTTACTTTGTAAATTTTATCTCAAGTATTTTTAACTAGTGCATTAACTGTAAAAAGACAGGTTTTGGTTGATTGAATGAATGTTGGCTGGTTTATTCTGTAGGTTTAGCATTTGTAGATTGGACAACAACGAGATAAGTTTTAATTAAAATGCCTTTACGATGATCACTGAATGTATAAAGGTTTTAATAGACTTCGTACATAAAAGTGGTTTTGAAAAGTAGGTGGAATTGATCGAAAGAGTGCCGTTTTTTCCCAAAATGTATTATTTATTCCAAAATCTCAACTAGGTACAGCTACCATCTCTTTACGTTCGAAACGAAGGCGGGCGTCGCTGAGAATGTTGTAAACTGTGATTAATTTGCGTAACTTTTGCATATGTTAGAAACATGATGATGAAAGAGCAGTTAAAATAATCTTTGAAATTATAATTAATAACTAGCTATAGCAACTAACTCAAATCAAATCTGCTATTATTTCCAGTTATTTAATTTAAAGAGTTGTTAATTTGACCGATCTGGTTGACGGAACAAACTGAACATCAACCGGAAATCTGTATTTTTCTCAGTAAATGATTTGTTCAGGGAACAAGATTTTCGGTTTCAACTCTTAATGAACCTGCCCAATTATGATAATGAAGTGGCTTGCCTCAAGTCCACAGCATCAAAATTTAACATTGCCAGCACATCACAAAATAGCCCAATAGAGCAAACGGTGCACGAGAATAACTGGTTTTGGAAATAAATAATACCTGCAGCTATTCTATTCTTCTTTTCAGTCCTAAATGCATCTATTTTAGACTTGTTTAAATAAACAATCTGAGTATTTTTCATTACGATTGGAATGAAATGACCCCAATCTCTTTGTGTTTAGAAAAATTCATTTGATCAATTTATTTCGAGAGATTCGATCAACACCACCTGCATCTACAATATTTTTTAAATTCACAGCGTACAGCAATAGCAGTTTTTTTAGAACAGAATCTAGTTTTGTGTAACGACTTTAACGTAGTCACTGTAATAATCTGTCTTCACCGTTAATTTATCAAGTGTACTATGGCCTCGTGTGCTCCACTTGTTGCATGTTCCACTTTAGCATCATGCGCACATTTAAACTTTAGATTTCCGCCAAAATTGCATAAACACTCTTACATCCATCTAATAAGTATACCAGGTGTGCGCAAAATCCGAGTGGGAACATTCAGTCTCCTTGAACTGAATTCGTTGCAATGACGTCTTTCTCATGAAGAGGGAAATCGGCGAACATCGAGCACTCCATCCCGGATAACAAAAACCAAGAAGTAAAAGTGTTCTTGTGCGAATGTGCATTTCTCTTCCATTAGGCTCCTCACCATCGAACGCAACAGATAAAGATAACCTGCATACTGGTCGCAGGTGAAAGTATGTTAAAGTAGGTAAATGGGTTGACATCCCCACGGTAGATTTCTCTATCACTATCTCGGTTGAGCGCAGCTCTAGCCGGTGCGCTGAAAGAGAACGGAGCGAGTCACATGACCGTTTTCTACAGCGAGTACCCCACTTTCCAAATTGTTCTTCTGCCACTCTTCGCGGTGTGTACCACTCTGCACCTCATGTGCTCGCTTTTGATCCACTCTACCCCGGCATATCATCCCCTCTTGGGCCGTGGTGGCACTCCCAAGGACACACTTGTCACATTTTACGTTTGTTTTGGTTTTTTTCGGTGGAGCGGGAAAATTTTCGCGCTTTAATTTGGTGCTATTGTTCTTAAGTGCAATTTTTTGTGATATTATTTTTAATTAGGTAAGGTGTTTATTTTATTTATTTATGTTATCGCTCGGTGTTGGTGTCGCGTGTTTGCCCCTTCCCTGGGTGGGAAAAGTTAAAATAAGTCGTACTTTGGTATCGGTAATTAAAATTAATCACTACATTTCACGACTGTGTTCGTTACACGCTTTAAAAATATAACTGAAACATGGCTTTACCGAAATTTTACGATGGTCTGATGAACAGTGTTCGCCTTTGTGAAATTGCAACACAAATTATTAGAGGATATTATAAAGGTCAGGTACCTTTTCAACTGCGAAATCGTTAGATTTTTGTAAAAGTTATCGCGATTGATTCTAATATCGATACGATCTCTAAAGTGAATAGTAGAAGAACCGGAACATGGATTCATCAAAGGTCAAAACCCATGAAATGATGTGAATTCAGAGGTTTAGATAGCTAACTAACCGTTTTTGTGTTATTTCACATTCAGAGATTTTGTAACATAATGTGCAATTTTGAAGACAATGATTTAGTTTGTAGGAGTTAATTTTATTCCACAGATCAAATAAAAAAGTTTGTACTTCTAAGGTGAACGAGTGGAATTTGCGACGTTTTATAAATTATTACGAGAGACCGGAATTATATGCATGGATTTTGACTCTAAATTGTACATACATAGACATAAAAAACTGAACATCTACGTGTTGAGATATTTTTATTATTCATGTACTTAGTATATTAGGCTTCAGTTAATAACTCTTACCTACAAGTCTGCTAAATTTACTTTATTTTAGAGCAGTTTATTAACTATGTTTGTCCATTTTGAACTGGACAATATTGACGTCAATGTCACAGATTTGAACGATGAAAAACTTCGTTTAACGAGTATACTTGGTGATGATTATTTCGAAGTACTGATTATATTTTCACTAAAATAAAAAAAAAGTATTAATTAGTTGTCAAGGCTTTCAGAATATTTTCTTTAAATTTATCATGCCAAACTAATAGATTGCTGCCGAGATAATGTGACTTTAAAATAAAAATTATGTTGGAGCCCAGATCATATTTTAATTTAATAAAAGTAAGACCGTGGCTGATATAGTATTAATTTCTTTTTCCGAATTTATATTTTTTTCGTCTACGTTCTCCATCTTGTGACTATAGTATTGGTTTCAATAGTAAAGTAGTATACGGGAGAAAATTTGTAAAATACAGAAAAATATGTGTAGTAATAAAGTCGTAGACGATTTTAATTACTTCAGTTCGAGCAGACGCTCAGGTATTTGGTTGTGTTGCTAATAGTAATAGATATGCAGATTACATTATACATACTTCGAACTCTGTTTATGACAAATAAAATGTTTCATCACTAACTGCATCATAAGAACCTTGACAACTAGACGTTATTCAATATTATTGTAAGGATGAGCAACAAATTCGAGCAGTTTTAAATTTTCAATATGTACTAACTTGGATTTTACAATTATTTATTAATACTCTGCGACTAATGTCTAAGGATGATTAATTAACATTATTTTATTTTTTAACTGTTTTTAAATTAGGACTGTCAATCAATAGTCGCCAAAACAAACTTTGCTTCGAATTTGCCATTCGCCTTTTTAATATGTATAATGTAATAAGCTAATTATATTGGCTATACTTTTGGTGTGGGTTTAGTCTAAAACCCGGGCCATTAGTGCGTATAGATTGTCAATAATCGATATTGAGTCCATTGGGCGACTTGCCACTTTCGTGTTTTCTCCACGTTTCGTGACACCTAGGGTGGTCGAAACAAGTGACCGCCCGTTTACACTTACAGTACGACAAGTGGTCTCCCGCTGTCGTCTGTGTCAATTTTTATTAGACGGATAATCTCCGAAACCACTAGGTCAATGGTACCGATTGTTGTCAAATTTTATGTAGGAGTATATACTTATTACATACTATTAAACATACTATGTAGATGGTAAAACGCTAACCAAACATTCACTAATCCCACTAACAATTGGATGACGTCATTTCAAAATATTCTATGCTCAAATGATTTCAATGTTATACTAGTAAGCTATTATAAAGGGCAGACTAATTACATCTTCGTAGCGGTGTTGAGTTCGTCTCCTCCTTCTAATCCGAAGGTCTCTCGTTCGAGGAGTTGTTTTTTTTCTTTTTTTTATTTTAAATTGTGATCCTTATCTATATTTTTTTATTGATTAAATCACGAATGATTCACCCTATTTTTCCTTTACACAGTGACTGGTTTACCTGTACTTTGGCAGTCCATACATATTTCAACTGCAGATTGTAAGGGTTATTCTAATTTTATAATTTTTCAAAGAAGTTGAAATTGTTAAGGCTCTACTTCAGGGGGTGTAAATAACCTTGGACCATTTTTTTTTTGTATTAAAAATATCTCGTTTTCTTTTAATTGTAAAATGCTAAGGAATATTTTTCTGCATTCAAAAAATTAGGCAAGTTATAAAACAAGCAGAAACAGTCGTAAATAATTGTGTTCGTTGGCCGTCGCTGCTTCCTGTTCTGAATTATTAGTTTCTTGGAAAAATGTGTTTGTCCTCGATAACAGAGCGGTCGTTTACAATTCACTGTTTTCTTTGATATTTCCAGATCTGTAGTTGTTGCTACTGACACCTTTTTTAAAATTGCTTATACAGAATTTCTCGAAAAAGAAAATTTTCAATTTTCAGGAAATTTGTGAATGTGGTGTTATTATTGTTAGTAGTACCTTCCACTTATGCAAACAGATGATGATATAGAGATATTTTCATATTTGGTGGCGAAAACAAAACACTGATGATAAATGTCAGAAAATTAAACTTTCAGTGTCATTTTTTTCCATAAACGTCTTAATAGGAATAATTTAAAGGGGTTTTAAGGAATACTAATACCCTCGAACACATGTCCTTTGTTTTTCCCAAAATTGTTGGCTGCAATTGACACCCTAATGACATTGTTGACGTTATGTAGGTATCAAGTAGGGGACCATCTTTTATAATATTTATGAAAGGTGTAGACAGCTGTCAAACACTGGTGTGCTGCAGATTTATTGATAAATCCGCAAAATGTTCCAAGTTCTCTTCTAACCATCTCCCTTTTTAGTCGCATACGCTATCTAGAAGTCATAAACACCTGAAGTTAACAATGATTCTAATTTCTCTTCTGAAGGATAGCACCCTACGTTACCTTAAAGTGTTGCATTTTAGGTGATAGTGCTCTAAACATTAAAACGAGAAGAAGAGTTTTTATAAATAAGTGACATTTTTTTGTATACCTTTTGTTTAGTATAAAATGTTATCCAACAAGTGTTGAGAACCTTTTAGTTTATACGACCAAAGGACAATGTTACGAGCATGCGACAAGACTATTTTAAATGTTTAGTTTCTTATGCTGTTTATGCCATTTTAAATCTTGTGGTAAGGCCAACTTTATAGTATTTTTTGTAAAGGACAGTTGGAAAAGAAATAACAATAGAAAAACCTGAAGATTTTTTCCTACGATTAAGAGAGAAAAATATTTCAAAACAAGCATTTTATTGCTTCATTTTAACATGCGTGCAAACGTCATGTGGTCGTGGGATTTAAATTCTACAGGTACAGTGTGAGATGATTATCATTACTACAACATTTATTTAAAAATGCTTATGATCCAGAAACAATGCAGATGACGTCAGAACTTTTATTACGTGCACTAAAAGAAAACTCAAATTTGTTTCTGAGGTGGATTTTTGACTTTTGCACAAGTTACACCTACTTTTTTAAAGGTTTTGTGCTCATTGTATCAACATTAAACTTATAGTAATTACTTGATATACTTAGTTTCACTTTGGTTCACTCGTGTTTTTGTTTTTAAAGACCTGGAAAACTAGTTGTCGAAGTAAATTGTTGTTTGTTTTATTTATTGCATGTTATCGTTCGTTGTTTCTACCTTCCATGCACAGAAAAGTTTCGAACAGTTACCTTAACTGAAAGCAATTAAGTATTGGTGATTAAACGTAATCATTGTTTTTTACGACTGTACGTTGCACTCTCCACTCTTTTAAAATATATCTGAAATCTTCACTGAAATTTTACGATGGTCTGATGAGCATCGTGTTCGTCTTGGTGAGGTGGTAAGACATTAAATTAAGAGTATATTGTAAAGGTCAGACACCTCTTAATCGCAAAATATTGGATTTTCGTAAAAGCTGTTGGCTCTGCAGTTCACTTTTATATTCATGTGATCTTAAAAGTGAACACACTACGAGAACCGGAACACGGTGGACCCATCAGAGGTCAAAATCCATTAAATGATGTTATGTTTAAAAAAATGCGTATTATAAATGAACGTTTTTAGGAACATGTACGTTAATTTGGTGTTTAATAAAAATGAAACAAAAATTGCATTACTTCGGTCCGATCGTCGTGGTATGTTCAAAAACGAACGTCCATGTGTTGGAGTATTTGGTTAGAAAGTTTAATTACGGTAAAATACCATTATTGTTTTGTTGTGATTTATGCCTAATTAGGTATGCTAATTGCCAGTTGTCCTTACAAAAACATGAATTTGAATAAAGTAAATACAGCCGACGTACGTACCCTGTAAATGTGTGAGCTACCTAATTTATTTTTATTTGTGTATTTTAGTCATTGTTTTTTTGTTGGTTAAACGTTAAAACTAGTAAAATAATTCTCACGACTATTATTTATTGTTGATTGTTTTATTTATTCTTTGTATGTTGGCCATATTTATTTACAAAGAAGTAGTCATTGACTATGAATTTATGAAATATAAGTAGACTCCATGAACTTTGATAGGGGTTATCAACAGATGGCAGGTGCATGGACTTCTGAAGTTGTACCAACCTTTCGCTCTTAGTCACCTTTTCGAGTCTTATAAATTATTGCTAATTGATGATCTGACACGTCAATGTGACACATTAAAATTAGAACTGAAAAAAGTGCAGTGGGAAAATTGTTATTGAATTGTACAGTGTTTATTACTTATATTGTCAATAAAATCACCTGCAAATCTGAAGTGGCTTTTTAGTTCACTGCCACAAGAATCTGTTCCTACAATAAAAGCTCATTGAAAAGGTGACTAGTTTCTACAGGTGTAGGTGAGGTCATAACTTTGAAAAAACGTAAATTTGTACGGAAAAGCAGTTAACACAGAATTTAATAATTTGATTTTCATAAATCAAATTTGAAATAATAGTTGAAGGTATTTTAAATCATTACTAATACAGCCATTTGTATTAATTGATAGAAAATCGAGTCACAGATTTTAAAGTTTAATAAGCTATTACAAAAAGTAAACAACACGTTTGGGAAACTATCAGAGTGTAACATGTATTGATTAATTATAACGGAGTACAGCATTTGACGTACGTAACGTGTGAATAAACATTAACCATTTCCATTGAGTGCCTGGAACCAAAGTAGCATGGACTGACACTAGAGTTCGGAATTTTATGAATGGATTTTCACAAAAATGCTGATATGTACACATATTTATGTGCAAAATATGTTGTAAATATTTACAACAAATAAGCATTCGTCCACATAATCGAATACATTTTTTATTAATCTACGCTTACGAGTACACTCGATGTACATAAGTTTACTAACAAATAGAGTAGTTAATTATCTAGTACCTATCTAGTTTAATTTCTGATTCATTTTAAAAAGATTAGTATGAGAAATATTAAATAAATGTTCATTAAAAATACGTTTAAATCAGAAACGGCTTACATAATTTTATTAAGAAATCTCACTTGCAGTAAAACATGGTCCTTTGCTTTGAGTTTACTCTTTACCCGAAGTAGATAATGGACTTATTCGAAATTTTCGATAAGACGATAATTAATAGGAGTATTAATTTTGTGTTTTACAAGATTTTCACCAATTTTATTTATTTATCGCCTCATAAAAGAGATATCTCTCAAAAAAAAGATTAGTAAAAACTTGCATTTTTAATTCAAAAGATAACAGTTATAGAAGTATAAATTTATCAATAAACGCTCAGATACATACCGCCAAGTAGCAATAAATGATGTGTTTGTGAGTAAATGACCGTACTTACCAATTTCCACCAGTGATTATAATATGATTGCCTTTGAGGAGATTTATTAACCATGTTATAATACCTTTTACGCACGAAGGAGACTAAATTGCTCTTGCAAAATTGAATATATGGTGCATTACATTCGACGTCCTGTGTTATTATTGTGGATATTTTATGTTTATTTACCATTTTAATTTACAAACTCAAAATTCGTTGATTTTTCCCCGTTTTTGTTTAATTTACATTAGAATTAATAGGTATATTTCTCTCTTTATAAGCAAAATTATCGATCCCATAATCGTAGTTTTTGAAACCCAGTCTAATATAAGGAATTTTTTTACATTCAATTAAACCTTTAAGAACCATTCGTGTGGAACACGTTTACGACCTTCTGCGTTACGTTGAAAGCTTTTTATGTGACGACACCGCGATTGTTTTATCCAACAAACGAACGCCAGCAAAATTGCAAAACTCTAAAATCTCATACCTACGTAAACCTTTATTCCACAAACAAGATTAATTTAAGGTCACCACAACCGCGGCTCCTTCATAGAAAGGTCTCGCGGCCTCGCTTCTTCAATTAAATGTCAAGTCCTAACACACCGAATCTTTTGCAGGTGAACTTCCACGATGAACTTCTCCACGTTCGGTGTGGGCGTACCTTTATCTGCTGCCCTCCCGGTGGCCACTCAGTTTTCCGCTGGGAAACTAACGCAAAGCGTGACTACTCCGAACGGACAAGTGGTCGGCGTGCTCCAAGGAGGGGAGAATGGCGTCCACTACATCAGGCCGCTGGACGCCAACGCGTTCGCCACCGCCACCACCCAAGGCCAGAATTCCGGCCAGACGCAAACCCTCATCACGTTACCGATCACCATGCCCGGAGCGAAGCCGGGGGATCCACAGCAGCATGTACAGATACAAGTTGTGAATCCTGTGCAGACGCAGGTATCTCAAGCAAACTCGGGGGACTCTCCTAAGTACCATATATCTCCTGTGCCGTTACAGACTTTTGGTCAGGGGGCGACTGTGCTGACGGTGGCGTACAATCCGAACCAAGAGGGCATCCAGATCGTAAGTGAGAGAGGGGATGGAGAGGAATCAAATGTGTGGCATTAATAGGGGTTCATTGAACGTTAGATCCATAATTTCATGCAATTGTTCCCGTGTTAATTAGTTGTTGAATTCATTTTTTGCCTTACTGTGAAGCGGTCTGCTGCAGTTTCAGAGTTTACGTCACTAAATTCATTTAATTACTTACAATCACTTAGCAAGCAAGTCATTAACATTGTAACACTGAACTGAATGTGTAGAAGTTTTGTAGGCATAATGGATGTTGAAATGTTTTCAAATGTACAGATTCTGCAGTTTCGGAAAGGAACTTGGTAATTGACAAAGTTTAATTAGTTACTTATGCAAGCGTAACTGCATTACCTTGTTTTCTTCTTATATGCTTCCAGAGGTATACGTTGATGAATTAAGCTATTTTTTCAGGGTTTGATTTCCTTGGATGTAATGTAGAGGCAGAAATTTATTTTGATGGTAAAGATGGAAGTTTGGATTTTTTTGAAATCATTATTAATTTTCTGAAACTATTGTTGAATTTCGAGAAAAGTGAAATTTTAACTATGGAAAAGTTGTTAAAAGTAACTGTGTATGGAGACGAAGGGATCCTCTTTTTGAAAAAGATAGACAGTGTTTTATAACAAAAATGCTCAAATATAACAACTACACTATGATACAGAGTGTTTATAAAATATGGTACATCAAGTTGGTTTTAGAAAAATCTGTTACTGCATTTTTAATAAGGATTTGCAGCGTCCTTATGTCATTAAACAACTTATTACAATCCAAAAATAACATAAGTAATTGTGTAATAATTGCAGGCATTCTTACAAGAAATGTTCAAAGTAGTTCCCAATTTCCTATGATTTCATTCTCATATGATTTTTCTGTTTTCAATAATGTTTTGCAACATTTCTTAGCCCATATTAACACAGCTGTTTCTGATTCATGGCATTAACTGACCTAAATGTTATACTCTGCTTGAAAACGATGTATGTCTTTCTTAAATCAGGCGACCAAGCTGGCGAAGGGATATTTGTCCTTGTGTTTATGATTCGGTTATCAAAATATTTCTGAAGGTTTTCTATTGTTTCACGTGCACTAAGAGCAGTGACCCTATCCTGCTGGAAATACCCTCAATTCTTCATCATTCATCTTGGATTGTATTAGTACATATTAAGATGTTTATTAGCAGATATAAGTATTCGTGGAGCAGTGGGTTTTTAGGAAAAGCTGAGCTGCGGTTGTACGTTCGATGCTCAACTTGGCCGTTTCTTTTTTTTTATTGCACTGTGACTAGTTTTCTTTTGTGCTATGTTATGACTAGTATTATCTATGTTGATAACATCATCACACATTTTTTTTATTGGCCAAATTAAGAACGAGTCAACCCATTTTCTCGAAAATGTGGGAATAAGCAGGTCTTTATTTAATAATGTTAAAATAAGAATTATAATATTCAGAATATTTTGTTCAATTGTGGCTTAATAATTGTTTTGAGGAGACAAACTCGTTCAAATCGTACTAATTTCTACGTGACATTCTTTCGACGTTAAACATTTAAACTTAAGCTTGTTATTAGTGGTGAGAGAACATTTAATCCCGTTGGTTATCTGATTTCAATATATCCACGGCACAGGGACTGCGGGAGTGTTATTTATGCCGCTAGTTTTTACTTTTATCACAAAAAGAAAATCGCAAAAACGATTTTTATAATTTTTTAAAGAAGCGGGATTTGTCCGTTTATAGGTAGGCGAAGGAAGTTCTATCGAAATAACCTTCGACTATGGAGGTGGTAGCTTCCACCATTTTTTTTTCTTTATAAATAACTGTTAATACATTTTTGGTTTTTATGTGAAACGAAGCAAATGTTTTTTGCAGTATGATGTTAAGTCAGTAGTAAAATAAAGAGTTATTTTCGCAACAAAAAGTGAATATTTACTACGTACAGTGTGAAATTTGACCATTCCGATCATTGGCCGACGACACTAAATGCAATAATACTTAAGCATCTACACCATGTAAACATTTTTCTAGGGTTTACTTAAAGTATCTCTAAAGACATGTAGTTCGTGGTGCATATTAATATTATAATAAAACAGTAAATGTTGTTACAGATGAAGCGATGAACAAATGGAACTTTGAAAATTAAACAAACAAACAAAAGTTTCAACGGACGAAGTTGAATGAGAAACAAACTAGGTAAACAAAATAAAGAAAAAGAAACTAACCTGCGTAAAAAGTCAAACATACGAATTCTTTGCAGTATCCAGAATATTAAATTAAAGATTTATAAATGTAAAACAAGTAGTATTCGTGTAGCGAAGTGAGTTTTTGCACATTCAAAAAACATTTAATGAAACGTTTTTGTTAGTTTGTTTTTTAAAGATGCAGTGTATTTTTGTTTAATTTTAAGTAAAAGCCTGAATATTAACAGTAGTCTTGACGAAAAAGTAACGCCGTTAATGTAAGTATATTCATATGCATGTGGACATCTTTTGCTTCAAACAAAGTTAGTACAACATTATTGGTTCTATAGTGTTGAACCGATGGAAATACTTTACAATCGGCCGGCGGTTTTAAGCATTACGATAATTTTTCGTCATTAATGTAAATTTATGTTTTTATTTTAGTTTTATTCGTTTATTTCACACCGTATTGTAAGAATTTATTGACAGTTTTGAGGTTATCTCGAAATTTTCTTACAGATTTGGCCTAGCCCTATGGAGGTGAACTAAAAGTCACGCAACGGTCAATTATCTTATTTACCTAAAAATATATTTTTTTATTTTGACCACAGATATGGTTAGAGTGAAAGAATTTATTGATGACATTTTGAATTTTGCAAATGTTAATAGACTGACTCTTTATTTATTATTTTCGTTTTTATTAAATTGCTGTGATTACAGAATCCTTGATATTGTTGTCTTTGAATGAATGCAGTTTCCGTCCGTCCGTCTGTCTGTCTGTCTGTCTGTCTGTCTGTATATCTGTTTATTTGTTTGTGTGTTGTCTGAAAGTATCAGACCAATTAATGCGAAATTGTAGATGTGTCTTATATCATTAGGAAGGTGGTAATAAAATAACCCAAGACATCAAGTGAAAGATTTCTAAATCTTTTGTAAACTTTACACTTACCTTTATTTAATTGTAGTGAAATATCAATTAAAATATTTTTACTTGTTCCTTCTGAGAATGACTTGCTTGTGTACATATAATACACCATGATTATTAAAATTGGTTTTGAACTAAAATGCAAACCCCTCTTAATTGAAAAAAAGGGTTTCTCTTTATGTAATTTAAAATTATTTAGTCTTAACTTCCTAACGATGTTAAGAATATCACTAGTAAGGGTGACGCATATTTTCTAGGTATTGTGATAAGTGCAGTGGTATATTATTCTGCTGAATAATAATGTACCTGTAACAATGCAACTTGTTGCTAATAATTGCTAACCAATGATAACATATGCCACACGTTTTTAAAATTCCCTCAGTTTTGTTGTATTTGATTGTGCACGTTTGTTGGTGGCAGTCCTAATTGTTATATATTTCAACAGGTGGATGGTCAAAATGGAATCACTGAAGGTATGACAGTAGTGGCAGCTCTTCAGCCGCAAGACATCCAACTAATCCAAGCGGAACCCGACAAGAATGGCAAAGAAGTAACTCCAGTCGCTTTAATAAAAAACGAAATAACGTCGAACAAAGATGATGAGAACAGTGAAGCCGGCACCTCGGTAACCGCCATCCCCGCCCAATATCTTCAAAACGCTAGCGTCCAGGAGTATTTGCAAAAAATGCAGCAACACAGCACACTACCTTTGAGTCTTCAACAGTTTCTAAAATTCAATAATCCCGAAATCAAGAGGGAGCAGATCACTGACGAAGGTGTGATCGAGGCCATCAACATTTCTGCGGAGGATCAAGAACACCTAATTCTGAACGAAGTGGAGGGCGAAATGGAGACTGAAGAAAACGTGGATGATCCCGATAAGGGCAAGAAAAAGAAGAAATATAAGAAGAAACCTCCAAAGCCAAAGAAGCCGAAGCCGGGACAAGTTCACATCGCCACGGCATTGGATGGGACGACGTTGTTTTGCTGTCCGGAGTGTCACATGGCTTATCCCGAGAAGGAGTTGTTGGAGCAGCATTTGGTGGGGCATAAAATCGAAAGGCGGTTTATTTGTGACATTTGTGGGGCAGGATTGAAACGCAAGGAACATTTGGAGAGACATAAGTTAGGACACAATCCCGAAAGACCTTTTGTGTGTTCAGTGTGCATGAAGGGGTTCAAACGGAAGGAACATTTGAATCTTCATTTTGTTATACATTCAGGGGAGAAGACGGAAATTTGTGGGGAATGTGGGAAAGGGTTTTATAGGAAAGATCATCTTAGGAAGCATGCGAGGTCGCATATAACGAGGAGAGCGAAAGAACAAGCCGAAAGGAACCAAAACATTCTAATAAAGGAACCTACGACCACGACGCAGGTGACAATACAGGTAGGTTTTGATTAGAAGAACATATCGTCGACTTACTCAAAGAAATTGTAACAAGAGAATACTAGAACTTTTTGTATTATTTCATTCTGTTCTCTTCTTCTGGCAAACTTATTAATATGAAGATACATATTTGTGGAAATGTAACAAGTTATTAGTACAAATGTCTTTGTTTCAACCCAATGTTCCATAGAAAATTGAAAAACTGCCACTTCAAGAACTGGAATTTATTTGAAGTAAGGAGAAGAGTTGTTAAAATTGGGATGCGTTAAGTGCACCAGAAAATGTCATTGTAACATGATTTTCAAATTTAAGTCAAGCATTTACAAACAATCAAATACATCGAATTGGTTACATAGTTTTTAAATGATCTGTATATTTAGTACCAAGTTTTAATATTATCTTCAAATTAATTTATAAAAAGAATTTATATTATATATATTTATATTTAAACGTATGAAAATTTTAGGCGAGAAAACTTATTGGATATATACATAGAGTAGGACACTTATATTACGTTAAGACAATAAAGTACAATATTTCTCGAAAATTCGGGTCATTACAAAAATGTAGCAATTAGAGGAGTTATTTTTGTAAAAAATATAGTGACACTAAAGTATCGTTTCGTATCACTTTTGCCTTCTGATATAAAAAAAAATTGTCTAGCAAGCCATGAATTTTATTTTTAAAATATCATTGCAGTGATTTTAAATTTGATTTGACAATTATTTGGCCAGAAGGGTAGTTAACATGAACAAGGAATACGTGCATATTTTTTGCATGAGGCGTTGACTTGTTTAAACTCCGTTTTAACCTAATTAGTAAAGTAAAAAACTTAAGAGTTTAAATTAATTTAAAAAATTATTTTATTTGTAGAAACTACTACACGTGTTTCTTTCAAAGCATTTCTTTTCAAAGTTTGCTAGACAACATTTTTTTCGATCATATGGTTTTTTGTAATTATAATTACAAGTTTGACAACATAGAAAGAACTTTTTAGCCAAGTAAGTATGTTTCCTTTACCATATTCACTTCTACGAAAATTGTAAATAAATCAATTTACTTTTTTTGAAGGATTAGGTTTTAATGAAATGAATGTATTTGTTTTAAAGTATTTCTTGAATCTCGTATTATGTATTTGTATGGCAAAATTTATTGTTTTTAGTTTTTATACCGAGAGCAATAAAAAACATGATCAAAGACACCCATAGATTTATGCAAGCTTGTGTTTGATCGTTGCATTATCAACTCAAATTTTCAAAAATCCACGGCTGTCTTTGATCGGGTTTTTATTGCTCTCTTGGAAGTATTGCCATATTTAACACAAAAGAAAAAATTAGTTTGTTAGTAAACTTCCTATTTTATATAAAAAAAAATTGCCAAAGAAATTAATAAAACAAAATCAATGAGGAAAATAATAATTTATTATTCAAAATTAGAACGTCTACGGTGAGTCAGTAAGAACACATTCTGGATATCTTATTAGTTATTATAGATACATAGCGTAAAATGATTTTCATCTATACAGTGTTCTGTTTTTGAAGGGTAACATACAACTTGGTATTTTTATAAATTACCTATATTTTTACATGCACTGATTGATCTCTTATACTTTACAAGTATATTTATTTATTTTTGTAAGAATTTAGCGGTTCACAAAAACATTCCAACTGCTATTTTTCAAACTTGTCTTTTTTATTGATACGTAACAAAGGTATGCATTTTGTTCTAGTAACAATGCAGTTGAGCTTGAGTGTAGGAATTTTATAAAAAATCCAAAATATAATTTTCAGATAGTCATATCTGAGGTTGATAGTTTGTGCAATTTTTTTTTTAGTTTGTAATAAAAGATCTAAAGAAAGAATAAAAAGTAAAACAAAATACAGTAAGAAGTGACGGGTTGTTTGAAAAACAGGTATGATTACTTGAAAATTGTAATAAAAATGTAATAATTTTATTGATGCCACAACAAAGCGTATAACCATAAAATATTGTAACACAAATGCTAGAAATAACTATTGCGATTTTTGGGTATAAACGTTTGAAGTGTTAAAAAAAAAGAGAAATTAGAGGAACTTGGCAACGTGACATCGAAATTTCGAAAGTAAATGTATAGGTACTTGTAAAATCATTGAAGAGGTCAATCAGAAGAGCATCCTGTATTGTTGAAAATAAGTTTGGTCTATTCTTCTTAGAGTCTCATAACATTGGCCTTCGAATTTTTTTTTAATCTTTTGTATGTTATGAAGTATCGACCTGTGGAAAATAAACTTAAGAAAAATGAAGAATTTGAACATGTTTTCCCGTTAAGTGGTTTGAGCCATTGTTCAAAACTCTTTTTTAATATGTATTTAGTCGAAAGTGTTACGTAACGATGTAAATTTTGTGTGTGTTCCTGTATTGGGGAAACAATAGTCTTTTAGAAGAAAGTTAGAACAGAGGATAGTTCCACTTTAAGAACAAACATCGCCGTTATTTATCACCAGAAATGCAGGTATGAATATTTATGAGAGTAGGTATAAAATTTCGAAATCAACATGTGTTGATAGATTGGCATACAATTTGTTTCATATACAGGCAGTAGTGTAGACAGGTTGTGTAATCGCTTTGGATGTACGTATTTTTTTATTATAAGCACATATAAAGAAATTTATTATTGAAAACATAACATATTTTATATATACAAAGATGTGAGGGGTGTGAATCAAATTTTGACAAGTGAAGAAATTATATTTATTTTGTAAATTTTATTTACATGATTCAAAAGTAACGAGAAACATTCCGAGTGTTAACTGATTGTGTCAGGTTTTCCTCGAATTTCTTTGCATAGATTGACTTGAATATTTAAGTATTATATCTTTGTATATGATAGTATAAATGGTATAAAATGTACCAGGTCGTACTTAACAAACGTTACAATTTACCGATATTGATAGTTTAATAAGTGAAAACATAATAGATTCTACGTTTCTATTTACCACTTTTTTCTTATTTCTAGTGTTGCACAACTTAAAAGTGAATTTCCATTTTTGCAGGTACCAACGTCACAAATGCAAATCCCTGTACAAATACAGGTGCCCCAACACCATATTCAAGTTACTGCAAATTCGGAAGAAGATGGCAGTCAAGTTAGTACAGTGGTCTTGCCAACGGCATCAGAGGGTATCATTTTGCCCCAGAATTGAATAAACTGTAACGGTTAGGTACTATTAAGTGATCTTAATGAACGTTGTTGAAACATTTTTTATAATGATGTATATATTATATGGACATATATTCATATTTATTCTCTATATACTATTTAATTCGATAATTATTGTGTAGTTTGTTAAAAGCCCTATAATCGGTTGCTTTGGCCAAAAAAGATCTGACACAAGTAAATCTCATATTTGAGAAGTTGTTGCACGTATAGGGCTACATTGTTTGATCAAATCAGCTTTTGAGTTAGTCTGCTCTGTATTTTTTTTTATTCGTTGTTGTAAATTGCTCTAATATTTTTTAATTTATGAATACAGTATTATGGTTAATGAGTCATCAGACTAACTAAATAAGTATGGGATTTTTTTTCTGGAAATTAGTTGCAATATAACAGTACAAACGTACAATTCAGCCGCATAAAAGTTTAAGAAACAGTTAATTAACAATAATTTTTATGGAAAAGACACTTTGACTCTCTTAATATATTGAATTATTGCAGATTTAGTTGTACAAAACGAGTATGTGGTCTTTTTTTAGATTAGTCGGTTTTGGGGATAATTTTATTTGTGAAGTTTGAGCGTTGTAACTATAGTTTGCTTTAAATCGCATTGTAATTTATCTATTTATATTTTTGGGAAAGTTGGTTATAAATATGTCTTGGTTATTCTATTTTTTACATTTATATTTATTTTTAAGTAATAAACTCTCATGCAACTTGGTTTTGTATTATAAATCACAGCCAAGCAATAACATAAAATCAAGCAGGATCTTTCTTAAACTGCTCTAACTGAATAATTTTAATAACTTTTCTAAAACTTTGTCTCAACAATACTAAACGACTAGCAGAAATGCTGGCCGACCCTTTACAGACGTAAAATAGGTTTTCTATTTAAATACTGTTACTGGTTTTGTGTGAGAATTTATTAGAGAGTTTACTACTGGGATAAGTCAGAAGACTGCGGTTAAAATTTGAAGAATTCGACTATTGATTGTGATCCATTGTAGGACATACGTAATTTAGTTTAACTGATCGAGAATGTTAAAACTTCGGGAACGAATGTTGAAATTTTACTGTACCTATTTTTTTATACAACTGACATTTCATTACATTACATACAAATAAAAATGTTTCTTTTTTACTCGTTCTTTTAGTGTCGCCCTGATTCAGAAGGTTTCATTCGTCGGTCTGGAAATAACTCGTTAACTAACACTATAATTTATAAAAAAGATTTTGTGTGTGAGTAGTAAAATGTACAAAATTCGCATGTGTTCAAATGTGCCCAATTTTCCTCTAAAATGTGATGAAAAATATATTTTTGCAACGTAGTGATTTTTATCTTCAAAAAATTATTGAGCGGTAATAACCATAAATTTCATTCCAAAGCAACATACTGTTACGATTGACGGGCGAATAATAAATCGGGCGTTGGTAAAACTCAAAATATTTATTTCTTTAGCTCGAATTACAACACTATCTATTGCAACGAATATGTACAGAAATTAATCCGGCGCTCTTGACTGTCTTCACTCGATGATTGAATCTCATTACCTACGGTCGCCTCTATTTAAACTCATAGTCTCTGATCGAGATCCTTCACGAACATCCATCGCGACTCCGCTTCGAGACTCCCCTGGACGCCGCTTCGAGACGCTCCAGACCTGTCTTTATGCGCCCGCCTCTCGGCCGTCAACAGCGATGATTCACCCATCAGCGCCGTGCGTACGTCCAGAAGGCTCTCGACCGCCATAGGCGTCGTACTGGGGCGGCATAAGGATGTATTTCGTAACACTGCCCCCCTCTTCAAATCCGATCGTCCCGATCGGAAGCGTCTTCGTTGTTTCCTTCGTACCGTTTTAGTCGATCGAGATGAACGATCTTCATCTTCGTCTTTGGTCCACGTTGGATCCGATAAACTACGTCATTTATTCTAGTGACGATAGTGTATGGACCTTCCCAGTCAGGAGCCAGTTTTGGACAACGTCCCTTCTTCCGTCGGGGGTTATACAGCCACACTAAGTCATCTTCCTGGAATCCGCCACAGTTGGCCTTCACATCATAACGGGTCTTCATTCGGTCACTGGCAATCTTGATCCGGCCCCTCACTAGTTCATGTACGTTGACCAACTTCTCTTTCAGTTCGTCCACGTAGTCACGTACTTCCATTGGTTCTTCAGATGGCAATCCAAAGACTAGGTCACAGGGCAGCCGCAGTTCCTTCCCAAATACAACGTGAGCAGGTGTTTGACCCGTGGTGTCGTGGATAGCTGCGCGGTAGGCCAGCAGGAATAGTGGAAGGTGCTGGTCCCAATCCCTTTGGTGCTCTTCTACCACTTTCGAAAGGTGTTGCTCCATAGTCCGGTTGAACCTTTCCACCATGCCGTCGGACTGTGGGTGTAGTGGCGTTGTCCTTGTCTTACGTATTCCCAGTAGCTGCATCACTCTTTGGAAGACGTTGGATTCGAAATTGCGTCCCTGGTCTGAGTGAAGTTCCAAGGGGACGCCAAACCTACTGATCCAATTGTCAACCAGTACTTTCGCGACCGTGACGGCTTCCTGATTTGGAATGGCATAGGCATCTGGCCACTTGCTGAAGTAGTCGCTAGCCACCAGGATAAACTTGTTGCCGTCGTTTGTTACAGGGAACGGACCGGCCACATCGATGGCGATTCTTTCGAAAGGTGCCCCAACATTATATTTCTTCATCTTTCCCCTCGCCCTGGTATGAGGACCTTGGCTGGCCGCACACGTCGTACACTTGCGACACCAACTTTCGACATCGTCACGATAACCTACCCAATAAAACCTCTCCCGGATTTTCGACAAAGTTTTGTTCACTCCAAAGTGGGCTCCAGATGTTCCGGCATGAACTTCCTCTAAGACCTTGGAAACCTTTACCTTGGGGAGGACCAGCATCGTCTTAGAGGTACGCCCATCAGGACTCTCCCACTTTCGCTTCAAGAGCCCATTTTCCATGACCAAGGAATCCCATTGGGCCCATAACGCCTTCAAACTGGGGGATTGGTCGGACAATTCTGCCCAGCCGGGTCGTTCGACTCCTTCCTCCTTCCACTTTAGTATTGGGCCGATTATGTCGTCTCCTTCTTGCTCACGCTTTAACCGCGCCGTTGTCCATTCTTCATCTTGCTCAAAAATCGTCCGACGAACGGGCAGGTTCCCTTCTTCCGCGTCGATCCTGTCGCAGTGCTTGCACTCTCCACACGGACGTCTTGACAAAGCGTCAGCGTTGTTGTGAAGTCGACCCGCTCGGTGTTTGATCCTAAAGTGGTAGTGCTGTAGTCTTTCCAGCCAACGCGCTACTTGGCCCTCGGGATTCTTTATCCGCAGTAGCCACGAGAGGGCAGCGTGGTCGGTCCTGATCAGAAACTCCTGTCCGTATAGATACTTGTGGAAGTGGTTGACGGCTTTGACAATGGCTAGCAGTTCCTTCCTCGTGGCACAGTAATTTCTCTCTGGTTTGGAATGTAATTTACTAAAATATTCGATAACCCTTTCCTCCCCATCTTGTATCTGCGACAATACGGCCCCAACTCCCGAGTTACTCGCATCGGTATCGAGGACGAACATTCCTTTGTCCCTGGGGTAAGCCAAAATGGGGCTGGTGCACAAAGCCGTCTTCAGTCTTTTAAAGGCCATCTCACATGTACTGCTCCACTTGAAAGTCGCCTTCTGTTCCGTCAGTTGGTGTAACGGTGCTGCGATGTCGGCATACCCTTCTACAAATCGTCGGTAATATGTGCAGAGTCCCAAGAAGCTTCGTAGTTCATGCTTGTCTCTTGGTATGGGCCAATCCCGGATAGCAAGAACTTTCGTCGGGTTGGTTTCTATTCCCTTCTCCGACACGATATGGCCCAGGAATTCGACTCTTTTCTGGAAGAGCGAGCATTTCTTGGGATTTAGTTTCAAACGAGCGTTTTCCATTCGTTCTAGCACCTCCTCGAGATTCTTTAGATGGTCGTCAAACGTTTTGCCCATAATCATGACGTCGTCGAGGTATACCAGACAGGTCTTCCATGTCAGTCCTTTTAGCACCATCTCCATCAGCCGCTCGAATGTTGCTGGCGCATTACATAACCCGAAGGGCATAACGGTGAAGTGATAGAAGCCACTTCCGGTGGAGAACGCAGTCTTTTCTTTGTCGTCCGGGTGCAAGCCTACTTGCCAGTAGCCACTCTTCAAGTCCAAGGTCGAAAACCACGCCGAGCCGGATAAGGTCGTCAAGGTATCGTCTATTCGAGGAAGGGGGTAACTGTCTTTCTTCGTGACGTCGTTCAGTTTCCTGTAATCGACGCAAAATCGGGTAGTCCCGTCCTTCTTGGTAACCAAGACTACTGGAGATGACCACGCGCTGTTGGATTCTTCAATTACCCCATCTCTCAACATGTTGTCCACGAGTTTTGTAGCTTCTTCTTGTTTGGCTAGGGGTAGTCTTCGAGGAGCCTGACGGATCGGTTGCGTGTCACCAGTGTTTATTCGGTGTTCTACGATGTTGGTCTTCCCGAATGGTTCCTCCTCTGAGGCGAAGACATTACGGTGCCTACGAATGAGTCCTTTGGCCAGTTTTCTCTCACGAGCAGACAGCTGGTCCCAGTTGACCTCCAAGCCTTTGGTATCCCCTTCCTTAGACTCATTCTCAACGTCTTCTTCCTCGCAGTTCAATACTCGGGCGACTGGCTCACACATTCCGATAATCTCCCCTTTTCTAATATTGACTGCATTGGGAAACACGTTTGCCACACGTAAGGGTATGTCACGATTGGTTTTGACTAGGGTGCTCGCGATCAGGAGCCTGTGGGTCGAGTCACGTGCCGGCTGCACCATCCCCAAACTGTATCCGGGGTTCGTCTCTACTCTGGCGGGGACGATGACTTCTGCATTACCATCTACCTTCGTTGTCTGACAGACCACTAGTCTGACCGTTGCAGCTTCCACATTCGGACGTCCCAGCACAAATTCTTCGGCTCCAAAACGCAGAATTTTCTGTTCTGGATCGATCATTAAACCATACCGGCTGATTAGGTCCATTCCCAGAATGAAATCGTCAGCGATTTCCGCCACCAGAACTTCATGCCTTATTCGGAGTCGACCGAGCTCTACATTCACCACCGCTGTACCCAGAACCGGTGTTGTTTCTCCTGTGACCGTCTTTACATTCGTGGCGGTATATACTGATTTAATTTGGCAATTTTGTAACCTGGATCTGCGTGCAAGGGACACTTCGGCTCCTGTGTCGATGATGATCTTCGATTCCCGTCCATTGATTTTTCCGCTGATTGTCGGACTGTCGACGCTCCCCGCGATACTTCTAACCATTACAGTTGTTGGGGCTTCTCTTTTAGCAGCCAGTACGCGCCCCGAGGTACCGACTGCCTTTAGTTTTCCTGCTCCTGATGTAGACGAGGTCGCGGCTGCGATCTCCTCATCGGCCCTGGCGATCTAACACGGCAATCCCTCCTAACATGCCCTTGACGCCCACACCTGTAACATTCTAGGCGCCCTCCATGTTGTCTAGAACTGCCCGTCTTGATTTCGGCAATTATTTCGCGGGCGAATTTCTCAAAGTTCTCTCTCATTTTGTCGAGACTCTCTTGAATAGGGTTTACTTCGCCCTCAACCCCGATGCCTCGTATCTTAACGTTGGAACGAGGTGAGCTGTTGTATGCGGCGTCCACTTCTAACGCTCGAATCAGCGCCTCGGATGGTTTCTTGAACCCGGAGATTTGCAGGACTCTTCTTACCTCACTATCTCTTACGCCGTTTACGAAGGTTTCTGCTGCCAGTCTGTCTTGGAAGTCTTGCGGAGCTTCAGGATAGGCGAGGTGTACCAAGCGTTTAACATCAGCCGCAAACTCCTGAAGAGATTCACTACTCTTCTGAATCCTAGATTTAAGCTGCGCTACGAAAACTTGCCGGAGGTGTTCATCTCCAAATCTGAGTTCAAGGGCGGTCGTCAAGGCGGTATAGTCCTTCTGGTTCTCTTCTGATAATGTCTGTAGAATCTCCAGGGCCGCACCTCGTAGTGCTACTACCAAAGCGGTCGCTTTCTGTTGGTCATTCCAGCTATTCGACAAGGCCGCAGCTTCAAATTGCTTCTTATAAGTAGTCCACGACGTCTGCCCA